GACAGCAACTGTACCAGCTCCTCAGGAAATTCAGACAGATAAGTACCAATGGTCAATTTAGAAGATGCCGCATTCAATACTTTAGGGTTGCGGATCTCAAACCGCAATGACTAAAACCACTTCCTTGTACCGCATGCGTCCTACTATGCTGACCAGGACCTATGATGCTGTCCAACGTTAGGCAGTATTGGAGACGGCGATCGGTGCCCAGACCAACCGATGCGAGGCAAGCTGAGACGAGGCAAGACGAGGCAAGAGTACCCTGAGAGTACCCTGGAGACAACGGGCAGGCCGTGACGGGTGCAAACAGCTTTTCGGTACACATCCCATATTGTGTGTGGGATGTTCCTGGCATCTGTGTGCCTGTTTGCGCAATCCTACTCCTAATGTGGTCCGCATGCAGTTACCCCCCAGTCCAGTTCTCCGGTCTCCTCCTCAATGTAGACATGTAATATGATGCCCGCACGCGCAATGGCACTGCCTGACTTCCATTATGGGTTTTCGATTCAGGTCCGCCATCCGCGGTGAGCGTGCGAGTACGCAAGTGAATGTAGGCCTATACCGCTGCCGCCTTATTTGTAGTAACGAAGATTTGGCAAAGAGAGGGTCGTCCAGCTGAACTTGTGCCCCAAAGCGAGAGGTAGGGGATGGAGGCACAATAGCTGATATGGGTGTTTGTGCCGTGACTGCCATCCGCCGTGAACGCTGCATGCAGCTGTAGCTGCGGGTATGCGTGTTGCCAGTATTTAAGTGTCCTGCCCAGCCAGGCGTTCGGTGAGCGGCGAATGAAACCCATAACGAAAAATCACGTATGCATCCCTTAATCCTGGTGACTTCTGTGGGAAACCCCGGTGGTACTGTCAGGCTATTGCGGGTTGAAGTTGATGCAAGGTTCAGGCATCTCGACATTTCTCTTGCGTGGAGTCTCTTCTAGGGAGAGCAAGAAAATGATAGGCATACTGCATTTTACAATGCCTGTTATGTCCACAGATGTTTGTGGAACTAGAATGGATTTTGCCAGACCGTGGCTGTAGCTCGACCGCTCAGCTGTTCCCTTGCAAACCTTGCAATAAGCACGAACGAGCAAACCTGCAACCATAAAAAAATCCCTCTAGGGCTAAAAATTCCTGCACACTCATTAACGCGTTGCAACTTGTACCCGCGGTGCTTATCTGCTACGCGTGTCTGCACAGTCCTAACATGCATACATCTCTTCAAAGCAATCGGCAGATTAATGACCCAAAAAACGCTTTCCGTAAAACTATTTATACGGATCCAACGCAGTCCCGACACCCACGCGCTTCAAGTTGGAACACGGTTAGTCGTATGCCTTCACAATCCTTAAAACAGTTATGACTAGATTACCATCAGCAGCATCATAAGCATGCCTCCGATACCGGAAGCCCTTGCCGGTCATTAACCGGACATTCGCTTCGCCTAGTCACCACACGTAGGTCCTCATGGTCATGATCCGTGGAAAAATTTTAAAACAGCACGTCGCCATAAACTGTACTACGCGATGCACTTGGGGGCAATTTAGGCGTCCCTACACTCGTCGACGCAACGATGGCGATGTGCTCGATGACGCAAGTCCAACATACCAGAAGCCCATACGAATTTACACGGCACACCCTCTAGCCTAGGGTACCGAAAACTTAGAACTAATTGTACAGGTCGTCGTCGTCTGCTGCAGCAGCGCTTTGGGTAAAGGCTGGAGCCGCAGTGGCAGCAGCAGCCGGTGCCGCGCTAGCCCCCCCGCCAGGACCATCTGGGAAACGGAAGTCCGATCCG